GTGGTGGTGGTCGTGTTGCAGCAGCTGCTGCTGTTGCTGCAGCAGCAGCTGTTGTAGTGCTGTCGCTGCTGCTGCTGCTGTTGCTGCAGCTGTTGCTGGTGTTTGTATATTAGTATTAGCTGTTGTTGCTGCGCGTTTGTTTGTGTTTGTGTTTGTTTGTTCGGGTTTTTGCTGTTTATTTCTGCTGCTGCTGCCGCTGATTGCTTGCTGCTACGAGTGTGGGGTTTGGGGTGTATGCTCAGGTAGGGTTTGTGCATATGTTGTTGGGGTTGGCCCTCTTTATTTTGAATACAATTCACTTCAAGGATTGGAGGAGTTTGCTGCTAACGGCGGTGCCTCAAGTAGTCTTTTTTGTTTCTTTTATCGGTTATTTATGCTTTCTTATTATATTCAAATGGCTGTCTCCTTCAAATGTTTATAATAAACCCTCTATTATTGCTGTTCTTATCGACTTCCTTATCAAAACCGATTCAGACAAAAACAAAGAACTCATCATGTTTCAACAACAAACTCAAGTCCAAAACGTAAACCCTAAACCCTAAACCCTCCAATACATAAACCCTAAACCCTAAACACTCCAATACGTAAACCTTAAACCCTATACTCTATACCCTCCAGAGCGTAAACCCTAAACTCTTAACCTTAAACCCTACAATGCATAAACCCTAAACCCTAAACCCTAAACCCTCCAATACGTAAACCCTAAAACCGAAACCCTAAACCCTCCAATGCGTAAACCCTAAACCCTGATCCCTCCAGAACGTACATGCTAAACCTCCCAGCCTAAACCCTGAAAGTCTGCCAACAGCAGACACGCATGCAAATACAAACCATTAACCGTAAACCCTAAACCCTAAAACTCTTCCAACCGCAGCGTCAAGTCCAAAACCTAAACCCTGAACCCTAAGACCTTTCCACCGACAGTCACACACCCTAAACCCTAAACCCTAAACCCTAAAATTCTAACAGCAGCAGCTACCTATTGAAAACGCAACCCCTTAATCGTAAACACTATAACTCTTCGATAATTTAACAACGCTACCTACAGAATGTAAACCCTAAACCCTAAACCCTAAACCCCAAATGGCTCCGCCTGCGCGACCCGAGCGTACGTACACCCCGTCGTAGGGTTTTTATTCTGTTGCTCCTCTTTGTGTCTCTGCTGCTGCTGCTGCTGCTGCTTGCTTGCTTGCTTAGGTTTTGCGTTTGGTGTTGCTGCTGTGCCTCCCTGTAATGTTTTTGGGGAAGCCTCTGTTGGAGCTGTACGTACACCGGAGGCGGCAGCCTCCTCCAGGTTTTCAGTCTTTAAACAGCGTGGATTCGAGTGCAATTCAGCTACAGCAGCTGCATCAGCAGCAGCAGCAGCAGCAGTATCATCAGCCTTATCACCATCATCACCAGCAACAGCGGCAGCAGCAGCAGCAATACGTGGCCTTGGCGACTATGGGCAGCAGAGGTGAGAAGGACTCTCGTGCTGCTGCTCCCTCAGCAGCAGCAGCAGCAGTAGCAGCAGCAGGAAGTGGAGTTGCTGCAGCAGAAGAGGAGATGGATGTGACGGAGCTGTGGCTGCACAACATGATAGAAGGCATAGAGTTCGTCTTAGGGAGCATCAGCAACACTGCTTCTTATTTGAGGCTCTGGGCTTTGTCTCTCGCTCATCAACAGCTCTCTTGTATTTTCTTCGAAAAAACTGTCGGCCTCGCCTTCCAACCAGGACTCTCCCCTTCGCAAATGGCATTCAAGGTGCGCTCTCGAGCTAGCGAGCTAGCTAGCTGGCTGGCGAGGTAGCTAGCTGGCTCTATGTACCTGTCTTTCTGTTTATAGCTGTCTATCTATATATCTATCTATCTGTGTGTCTATCTGTATCTGTCTGTCTATCTGCTTGCTAGCTAGCGAGCTATCTAGCGAAGTGCCTTTTTATTCATATAGGTAGCTAGCTGTCTAGCTAGCTAGCTGTCTAGGTAGCTGCTTGGCTAGCTAGCTAGCGAAGTAGATATATGCCTGTCTCTATGTGCCTCATCTTTGCTTGTTTTGTTTGGTTTGTGGTTTCTATTTGCTTTTGCTTTTATTGTTTTCTTCAATTTGTTTTTGTTTGTTCAATACTTTGATTTGTCTGTTGTTTTATTTATTTGTTTTTGTTCGTCTTTTTCTCTCTCAGCTTATCTTCTTCTTCCCTGCCTTTTTATGCATCACCATCTTTGTAATGGTTGCAATGGAGGCCCTCGAGTGCTTCCTTCATGCCCTCAGGCTGCAATGGTGAGCGAGGGTTTAGGGTTTAGGGTTTAGGGCTGAGGACGTTTTCGCTGATGCAAGCACGCAGGGACCCTCGTATTGGGGTTTCACTCGAGGGTTTATGGTTTGACTTTTTGTTTGCCGTAGAACCAGGCTGAGATAGGGCTTCAGGGTTTAGGGTTTTAGGGTTTAGGGTTTAGGGTTTAGGGTTTAGGGTTTTGGGTTTTGGGTTCAGGGTGGAGTTTCAAAACAAGTTTTACAAAGGGGACGGAGTGCCTTTCAGGCCATTAGATTTGAACTGCTTGCCAGGAGACTCGACGAGCTAGCGGGCTAGCTAGCTAACCAGCTAGCTGCCCAGCTGGCTGGCTAGCTAGCTTCCGAGCTGCCTAGCTAGCTTCCGAGCTAGCTAGCTAGCTAGCTAGACGTCTGGGTACCTACCTGGCCAGCATGCGGCTTACCCATCCAGCTAGCTAGATAGCTGAGTAGCTAGCTAGGCAGCTAGCTGGTTACCTGTGTGGCTATCTATCTAGCTAGCTAACAGGACAGTATAGATTTACACTAGAGGCGAGTAGCCGCAGCCTTCCTCGCGTATAGGCAGGGAACGGGCGCGCAGCCGCTGCTCGCTAGCCAGCTAGCCAGCTAGCTAGCTAGCTAGCTGGCTCCCAGCGCAACATTTGAACAGGCGGCTAGCTAGGACTTGTTTGTACCCCAGAGGTTTTTTCCTTTGAAGGGAATGCAGGAAGCACTTCAAATTGATTAATCTGTCTCCTTTGTCTGTTTCTGTCTCTTGAATGGGTCTCTGTCTACCTGTCTCCTCCTCGTTTATTTTGTTGGTGCCTGTCTCCTCTTGTTTCGCTCCAAACAAATCTCATTGGGCTGTACGTACACCTCAGTAGAGGATGTTCGTCTGTCTGCGTTGGCGTTTGGGTGTTTATCTTTATACTTTTTTTCGTGTTGTTGTTTGTGCGGATGTATATTTGTATTTTATTTGTTTGTTTATGCTTATTTGTTTGTCTGCTTTTATTTGTATTTTTCAATATTGTATGTATTTATTTGTATTTCTGGATGTTTACTCGTATTTGTCTGCCTTTATTTGTACTTCACTATTGAGTATATATATATATATATATATTATATATATATATTATATATGAGTTAGGCTTGCGTTTGTGTTTGTACAGATTTTTATATTTATTTGGATTTATATGCATTTGGTGTCTTTGGATTTGTTTTTTTTCTCGTTCATTATAGTAAATATAATAGTTGAGGTGTACATACAACTCGAGGTGCCTGAAGCGCCCTGTAGTTAGTGCGTCTATTTATCATATATTAATATAATAATATAATGTTGTTGGCGTGTTTATTCCTTATATATACATATACTTTTGATGCATATAATTAAATGCACTGTAAAAGCGTGCATCTCGCTGAGGTGTGTGTACACCCCAGATACTCCGACAGTGCTAGCCCAAGATAAACCCTAAACAAAATACTTCTTTATTAATCTCTAGACAGTAGCTGGCCCTCCATTAGACACATTTTAGGGTTTAGGGTTTAGTTTGAGAGCAGCGGTTTAATAAGTGACCCACGAGCGGCGCGTCAGGGTTTAGGGTTTAGGGTCTGGGGGGTTTGGGAGAGGGGGGTGGCTGAAACACATCCTTTTTTGCCTATAAAAATCTTTTTTTATATAAAAAACATTTAAATAATAAAATTATTTTTATTTTTATTTCATCGCGGATAATAAACAAACAAATTGGCGTCAACACCTGCGGTTTCCGGTTTCGGGTGGTGGTTACTGCGGCACGAGGGTTTAGGGTTTAGGGTTTAGGGTTTAGGGTTTCTGTACGAAATTGTTAAAATGGAGGCGTTTGGAGCCAGTCAGATGCAGGCACTGGCCGATCTGCTCTGTCCAGACACCGCAGACGACGCCGCCTTCATAGGGGAAACAAAAGGAAGACATATAAACCCTCAAAAAACAGAAAAATATAAAAGTAGAGCAAAGCCAAACTTTAGAGTGAAAACAAAGGTCAGAAAACGGAAGCAGTAGAACCTGGATTCGATCTAGAGAACATAGACTTCAGACCCTACAATTTAGGGTTTAAGGTTTAGGGTTTAGGGTTTAGGGTTTAGGGTTTCGCAGGTTGGGAAGATAGACGAGTTTCAGATTTGGACTGAAGAAGACCTTATTGAAGGCGCCACCTTTAAACAGCTAAAGGATAACCGCGTGGAGCCCAAGTATGAGGTAAACCCTAAACCCTAAACCCTAAGTTCGCCTCTCGGAGTTGAAGAAACTTTCTCTGCTGCAGATACAGGGACATTTGAGCTAAACCCTAAACCCTAAACCCTCGGTGGTGTTCCCCTCTAGGTTTTATTCTCTCAAACTGTTGGTGCTGAAGACGTCTACTTGGGCCTTAGTGACAAGGACCCAACGACAGACCACTGCGAGACTCTGCTAATTAAAGTAAACCTTAAACCCCAAACCCGCAACCATACAAACCCTAAACCCTAATTTCTCCTTTAGGGTTTGTTGAGATAAGGAGGAGAGCGTTTGGACCCCCTCCGAAAGATTTTAGGGTTTTACGGCCTTCTGCGCGGTTTCAGCGTTAGTGGTGATGAAAGGAATGCCGTTAGGGTTTAGGGTTTACGATTTAGGGTTTAGGGGTTAGGGTTTAGGGTTTGTGGACGGTCTTCAGGTGTATCTCCCAGCGACTTGTTACTCTCAAATATCTCTCGAGGCACGCTAAAGCCCATTCCAAACCCCGCAACCACAAAACCCTTGAACACGCTGTAGGGTTTAGGGTTTATGAGGCCTTAGGGTTTGTGAAGGTTTAGGGTTTAGGGTTTAGGGTTTTGGGTTTAGGGTTTGAGCAGACTTTTGAAGACCGCGTGGTAGTCGACTCGCCTCGCCACCGATTGAACCTCCCGCTGGCATACGCAGGTCAGGGTTTAGGGTTTAGGGGTTTAGGGTTTAGGGTTTAGGGTTAAGTATTGCAATAAAGAGAAATACTATTAAAATAAAACAAATAAGCGAACAAAAACAAATACACAAACAAAACAAACAAACAAACAAATAAATAAACAAACAAATAAACAAACAAACAAATAAATAAACAAACAAACAAGAAGCAAACAAACAAATAAATAAACAAAGTATATCAAGGTTTAATTTGCTGCTGCAGTGGACTCAGACAAAGGCACTGGAAAGTGGCTGGCCCCCACAAATTGTCTTGTCTTAAGAGTGAGTTCTCCTCAAACCCTAAACCCTAAACGCTACTAAACCCTAGCCGTAGGCCCGCGGATTCAAGGCAGGCGAAGACGGGAGTCTCGGGGTTTGGGGCTTGACTTTGAGCCTCACTATTTAGGGTTTAGGGTTTAGGGTTTGGGCCTCGCTGTTTAGGGATTAGGGTTTTAGGGTTTGGGCCTCACTGCTTTCTAGGGTTTAGGGTTTGGGCCTGGCTACTTAGGGTCTAGCGTTTAGGATTTGAGCCTCACTGCATAGGGTTTAGGGTTTCTGTATGAGCTTCATTGTTGAGGGTTTAGGTTTTAGGGTTTTGGGTTTGAGCTTCACTGTTGAGGGTTTAGGCTTAGGAATGCACTTGCTGTGCGTTCAGCTGCCAATCAAACGTAAAATTGAATATGTCCACGTCTAGCTTGGTCAGCTAGCTAGCTAGCTAGCTAGCTAACTAACTAGTTAAGTGGATACCTGGCTAGCTACCTGGCTAGCTAGCTGGCTATCTGGCTAGCTAGCCAGCCAACTAACTAGCTAACTGGTTCTCTCGCTAGCTAACTGGCTCTCTGGCTAGCTATCCCGCTATCTTTCTAGCTAGCTACCTGGCTAGCTACCTATCTATCTTTCTAGCTAGTTATCTGGCTAGTTATCTGGCTATCTGGCTAACTATCTGGTTATCCGGCCTGCTATATGGATAGCTAGCTGGCTAGCTAGCTAGCTAGCCAGTTGAAGTAACTCAGCGTCCGGCCTTCCAAGATCTACGGCGAGTGCTGAGCTGCTGCGAGTAATTTGCTAATAATCCTAAACCCTCAACCCTAAACCCCCAAACCCTAAACCCTAAACCTTGAAAAGGGCCTTTGAGTTGGATCAACGGCAGCAGGCGTTTGCTTGAAAAAAGAGTTTGTCGTAGGCATGCACAGCCCTCTGCGGGGTGCACAGGCAGCAGGTCAAGGACATTCGCTGGGCGCCACAAACCCTAAACCCTAAACCCTAAACCCGCTCTTCAACTGCTGCCACCTCCAAAAATCTGCCGCTTCCGAAGCTCCGCGCAGCAGCTACACGTACACCCCAAATAGCGAGGGGCCAGCAACCTCTGCTGCTGCTGCTGCTGCTGCTGCATTTGCTGCATTTGACTTGAAACATGCGCACTACTGCCCCCTGTTTGATTTGGAGTGAAGAAAAGGCTGTTGGGCTTTGAGGAAGAGGCTGCACGTTGTTGGGTTTGCTGCTGTGTACGTACACGTACACTGCAACAGAAAACAAGGAGGTGCCTATACACCAGAGGTGCCTATACACCGTAAACCCTCAAAAACCGTCTCCTGTCCTCTCTTCCCTAATTGCAGCTGCCCTCAGCACCCCGTTTTAAACAAAGAAGACAAAACAGCCTCTATACAAAATGCATGCATGCGCCCCTGCTGCTGGCTAGCTGCCTGTACACCATGTAGCTGCCTATACAGCAGGAAGCAGCATACAAACATTCGAAAGCCACCAACCCCCTCAGCGGAGGTGTAGATTCACCCGAAGGCGCTATAAACCCCAGCAACATAAAAAAGAAAACAAAATGTGGCGCTGCGTACGGTGTACGTACACCGCAGAGTTGCATGTACACTCAAACAAAACTCCTTTAAGAAGAAACTGCTGAGTAAAGAATAAACGCCAAAGATGATTTGTTGTTCTTTGCCCTTCTCTCTGTCTTCTCCAAAAAACACAGAGGGAGATATATTATACACAAAAACATAATTATTAATATGTCGCTGCTACGCTAGCTGCTATCTCTGCAGCTGCTCCTGCGCCGCTCTGCTGCTGCTGCTGCTGCTGCTCATGCATGTGCTGCTGCTCCAGCAAATGGCGCTGATGCTGTTCCTGCTGCTGCTGCATGCTCTGCTGCTTTTGCTGTTGTTGTTGCTGCTGCTGCTTTTCTCTCCCTGCTTGTTCCCTTTGCTGCTGCAGCGGGCAGCCCCAAAATCTATGAATGCATAAAAACTCCAACAGCAGCAGCAGCTGCTGCTGCTGCTGATGCTGCTCTGGGGTGTACGTACACCTCGTTCTTAGCAGCAACTCAGCGGCAACGATGACCAAACAGCTGCAGCAGCAATTCTTTTGTTAATGGTCTCAACACGTCGGGGTTGAGACGAATCTGAAAGACAAACAAAAACATGCTGCTGCTGCTGCTGCTGCTGCTGCTGTTGCTGAGTAGTGGTGGTGGTGCTGCTGAGTAGTGCAGCTGCAGCAGCTACTGCTGCACGTGATGCTGCTACTGGCGTGATGATCTATGCTGATGTGCAGTTGTTGCTGCGGCTGCTGCTGCACTTGCTGCTGCTGCTGCTGCGGCTGAGGCAACAGCAGAGGAGCGAGGGGGAGGCATCAGAGAGCAAACAAACAAAACAAACAGAAACAAAACAAAACAAAGACAAACAAAAAAACAAACGAAGATTAATAAACAAAGATAAACAAAGAAAAACAAACAAATAAACAAACAAACAAAGACAATCAAGCAAAGAAACAAAGACATGCAGACAAACAAAGATAAAGCAACCGACGAAGATAAACAAAGCAGAAAGAAAGTCTAAAGAAAATAAACAAAACAAACAAAATAAATAAACAAGCAAACGGACAACAAACAAAGCAAAGCAATAAAAAAACTAAAAAAATAAACAAACCAACGAACAGACAGACAACCAATAAACAAACAAACAAACAAAACAAATAAAAAGAAGTAAAACAAAATAGATAAATAAATAGATAAATAAACGGACTAACCTCCCTATCATGAAGAGACAGAAAGTCTAAAGAAAGTTCTTTTAACTCAAATATTCCCAAGTGGTCTGCTGCTGCTAATAACTGCACCGCAGACTGTAAGCACATCGCTCCTCTTAGCCGTTTTATACACAACAGCTTCAATCTCTCCACGCATACCTAAACAAACAAACAACAAAATCGTCTATTTATTTAATTTATTTATTTATTTATTTATTATAATATATTATACAAACAAATCCATGCATTTATATATATATATATATGTACATATGTATAGTATGCTGCTAGTAATCTGTACACCTAAGCAAACAAATACGTTTACTAATACAATAAGAAATAGAAACAAGCATATATATATATATATATTGTGCTGCTATTCATTGTACAATATACTGCAGGCGCATCGCTCTACGTAAACCATAAACCCTAAACCCTAAACCCTAGCAGCAAACATTGCAGCCAACAGCAACACCTGAAATGAGGGTTGCTGCTGCAGTAACCCACATCTCAACAGCAACAGCAACAGCAACAACAACAGCAGCAGCAGCAGCAACAGCAACAGCAGCAGAACCAGCAACGCCAACAGCAACAGCACAAGCAACAGCAGTGGTAGCAACAGCAGCAGCAGCAACAGTAGCAGCAGCAGCTGCTGCAGCAACATCAGCAGCAGCTTACTCGTTCTGCTGCAACCATCAGCTCTACCAAGAAGGGCCAGGAGAGACCGGCAGGGAGACAATCGGTGTGGAGGTAGTCAAGCAGCGCCGCAAACACCTAAACCACAAACCCTAAACCCTAAACCCTAAGCCCTAAACCCTAGCAGTACCAGCCATAGCACCCTGGAGGGGACGAAGGAAGCGCAACCCGTTGCACAGAAGACAGAAATGCGCTGAGACAGAAAACCCTAAACCCTAAACCCTAAACCCTAAACCCTAAACCCTACTTCATGTCGAATGCCTTCAATGGGGATTGGTTTATTCTCCCTGTCGTTGGCTTCCTTTAAACCCCCGAAAAACAAAGCGCGGAAGTGGTCGGACCTGCGCATACACCCGAAACCCTAAAAACCCCCAAACCCTAAACCCTCAACCCTCAACCCTAAACAACCCTAAACCCTAAACCCTAAACCCTAGACCGTAGACGACCCCAGCCTCCAGCATGCTGGACTTTCGAGGGAGCCGGCGGCGTGAATCTGCTGCCGAGTGCGCCTATGAGGGTTTATGGTTTATGGTTTATGGTTTATGGTTTATGGCTTAGGGTTTAGGGTTTAGGGTTTGGGGTGTACCTGCAGGCCAGTAGGGCCCTCGATGAATGCATGATTCTTCCCTCCACAATAAACACAGCATCAGAGAGGGGTGTCGGGGCCTGGAGGGATAGGAGGTTTGTAAGTAGAGTAGAAGGCGGAGGAGACAGCGGATCTGCAGCGAAGAGACAACAAAAGAAAGGGTTTGATAGATTTCACAAACCCTAGGGTTTACCCTACTGGGCAGTCTTCGCTCAGGCCCGCTCGTTTAAAACCACAAACCCTTCTCTAGGGTTTACACAAGGCAAGACACTCCTCTTCATAAACCGCCAGAGAATATGCAGTTTCGAGTTGGATTTGGGACATAGGGTTTAGGGTTTAGGGTTCAGGAAAGGGTTATGGTTTAGGGTTTAGGATTTGGAGCTTAGGGTTTAGTCCGGGGCTATAACTTCGGGAGTATACATTAGGGCTCATTCTGTTTCTAGGGTTTCGGATTTGGGGTTTAGGGTTTCGTGCATTTTTAGGGTTTAGGGTTTAGGGTTTAGGGTTTAGGGTTTAGGGTTTAGGGTTTGGGGTGTACGGAGACCCTACCTAGAGGGAATCTGTAGAAGTCGCTCAGCACTTCGCGTCCATCATACCCTCCAAACACAACAAAATTATTTTTAAAAATAACGCCAACCATCGAACTTCTCCCCGAAGGCAGCAGCCGCCCTCCGTCAATTAAACGCCACTCGTACGTCTCTGATCACAAACCCTAAACCCTAAACCCTAAACCCTAAACCCTAAACCCTAAACCCTAAA